GAAAATTACAGACTCAAAAGCTTTAAAACAGTTCCTCTCGCCAATTTGTCTTTCCATTCACTGGAACTGAAAAGTCAATTTGTCAAGTCATAAAAATCACGTTCCTTCCCCATCTTTCAAGAATGGATCTATAGATAAGCCTATAGAATGCCTTAATGAAAGGTAATCCCTCATTGAAAATATCTAATATTACTAAAAGTCTAATTACTGAAATTACTAATAAGGAAACAATTAGCCTTAAAAAGCAAACTATCAGGGAGGTCTGGTGGCCTAGTGTAAAGAAGATGCACTGCAATCCCAGAGGTACACAGTTTGAATCCACCAGATGCTCTACTGGAGAAGAAGGGACAATTTCTCTCTCTCTCTCTCTCTCTCTCTCTCTCTCTCTCTCACACACACACACACACACCCCCCCACACCCACACACACTCTCTCTCTCTCTCTCTTAAAAAAAAAGCAAACAGTCATGGAAAGAATAGGTAAGAGGATATCTCTATTAGTCTCTGCATTGGGAAAATAATTCAGGTCACAAAAAAAGGAATGGTGTTTTAACTTGACAGAAAGGGACAAAGGGAAGGGGGCAGAGTATAGGAATCTGCAAGGTTATTTTTCAGTACTGTATATATTTTTAATGAAAAATTCAAGGAGGGCCATAAAGAGACAAACAACAGAATAGGGGCATTGAGATCTTCAAAGTGAGAGGATCAAGACTGGCCAAGCTAAAAGGACAGAGCAAGGAAGAACCAGAGCTAATGAAGTTTCGTGGATGTGTATCCAAGTCTTATTTGCTAACGTCTTTATCTGCTACCAAAGGTTCAATCTAGTTCTCACTTTGGGTGGGGCATCCACTTTGAGCTGACAATGTACCTACCAATGCTCAGGTAGAGGAGTTCTAGATGAGGCTGGGAGTGGTAGGCATGGATATGCAGTAAAAGGCAAGAAAGAGAAGGTTTCAAATGTGGAGTAAAAAATGAAATAAAAATGAGATCTAGTTGATCAGAATTATAGGTTTTTGGAGACTTATGGTTCTCATCCTAAATTTTATTTTAACTGCTTATATTTGATATTGAGTATGTGCGGGTCAAAGAAAAACATATCTGGGCGAGCTCTCGTGGCCTATTGGCAAGAAGCTGCACTTCAATCCCAGAGGTGCACGGTTCGAACCCACCAAATGCTCTGCTGAAGAAGAAGGGACAATCTCCTCCTGTACCTGTCTGATCTGATTTGATGGCACACACATAAAAAATAAAAAAAAAAATTGGGGAGCTCTGGTGGCCTTGTGGTAAGGAGCTGCAACTACAATCCCAGAGGCGCACGGTTTGAATCCACCAGATGCTCTGCTGGGGAAGGAGGGACAATCTCCTCCTGTACCAGTCAGATGTGATTTGACAGTACACTCACACAAAAATAATAAAATAAAAAATAAATAAAAAAAATTAAAAAAAAAAGAAAAACATATCTGGGCAGCCATCATTCAGAATTCACCAAGCACCAATAAAACTGCTTCACTTGAGCTCAGGAAAGCAAAACAATAAGGCAGCAGAAGTTTGCAGAAAAACAATGAAAAGTCAGTTTCTCCATAAATATTTTTTAAATTTTTATTATTATTATTAATTTTAATGAAAAATTTACAGATTTTGGATTACCATTCATTCAGTGTTGCACTTTTCTCCCAGCCCCTCCAGCTCTACACACTTCTCTTTGAAAAGTAAAGGAAAAATTCTTTCATTGTTTTACAACTCCTCCCCCCAGTCCACTATGCAGCCTTTGTTCTGGACTCCTGTCATGATAATACCTAATTACATATCCATAAACATTTCTAAAAGAGATAATCTTTCAAGCTAAGAGTCATATATTTGTTTAATATGATGTAAAATAAACAAACAAAAGCCAAGGGGGGGAAATCCTCCAAATCCAGCACCTCTGCAATCACCACAGGTTATTTCCCCCTCAAGCAAAGTTCAGTCCAGGAGGACTTGCCCTGGTAAACCACACTGTCTTCTTGCCCCCCCCAGAGCCAGTGCCATGACCCTTCCTCATTGTACCAAAATCCACCTGCTCATCTTGTATCCTCTCCTCAACAGCTTCTTAATAAGCACTATGATGATTAATATTGTGTCTACTTGGCTGATTCTCTGATTTGGCATTTATGATGTAGTCATCATTCCCTAGACATAATATATTCATTCCACTGATGACATCTCACATAATAATTTCCTCAATGAGACCTTATATAATTTACCAGCCTCTATGATGATATCTACTGACCACAGTCAATTATCTGAAAGGGGGTTTTACTGGGGTGGGGGCGATGTCTGGCACACTCTGAACACACAACCTCATTTGCTTTTTTCTTGGCCTGGATCCTGCATCTGGCTCCTCACCTCCAGTTCTCTGGACTAAACTAGTGGCCTGCTTTACCTGTCAACTCTGAATATGTCACCTGTGAAGCCATGGTCTCCTTGAAATCTCTCTTGTGTGCGCTCTCTCTCTCTCCACACAGACACACACACACACACACACACACACACACACGTTGTTGTTGTGGGTGCCATGGAATCTCTATGCACATGTATTCGTATGAATATATATAGACACTCATAAATGCATATGTGTATACATGCACATATCTAGATATATTCTCCTCACCCCACTGATTTTTGCTTCTCTACAGAACTAAATCTCAAAGACGTACTTTCTCTGTCTATAAAAACAGATTTCTAATCTCTTAAAATACATGACCATGCACACTCATGTTTATCGCTGCTTTGTTCACAACAGCAATGAGTTAGAAACCACCCATCAACAAATGAATGGATAGAGAAGCTGTGGTATAGTCACACAATGGAATACTACGCTCCATTGAAAATCAAGGAACTCATGCAATATTATACAAAATGGGCGACCCTGGAGGACATTATGCTGAGTGAAATATCTCTGTCACAAAAGGACAAATACTGCATAGTACCTCTGCTGTAAAGTGGGACTGACATCAGGGTAGGGGGAAACTAAGAAAGAAAGGGGACAAATAATGTATACTGCATTGAAACAGATGAGGGACAGAACTATTTAAAAGGAATATATGATCAGGTATTATTTTCATGACGAGATTCCAGAAAAAGAAATGCATAGTAAAGTGGACTATGGACTTGGGGTGGGGGGTGGGGGAGATTGTTTAACGATGAAAGAATTTTTTCTTTTCAAAGAGAAAAGCCAACTGGGGGAAGGAGTGGGCAGGGAGGAAAATGTGCAACAATGAATGAATGAGGAAAAAAAAAATTAAATGGGAAGAATATGCTGTAAAAAATAAAATTAAATAAAAAAAACCCCACAAACATAACCAAGGTCCCCCTTACCCTTCCTATTTGCTTCCCACTCATTACTGGACCATTTATCAGATAGCTTTTCATTCTCTCTAGTTTGCTTGTTCTTGTACAATTTATCTCATTGCCATTGAGTCAGAATCAATAGCTGACTCTCCTCTGGGTTTTTTGAGTCTGTAATAGCACAGCAGGGGAATGTGCTTAGATAGTGACGCCCTTGGAGCTGCTGGTAGATTTGAACTGCCAGAGAAGCAAGGCTTTTAGAACAACAGCACAGCTCCCTGTGGACCACACCACCAGAACTCAGTAGACACCTGACCCTGCCAAATAGAGTATAGCTTTTCTAATGTAACAGTACTTAAAAACACAAAAAAGGCTTGGAGGGTTTATTTCAGCTTTCTGATTATTTACTATGCTGAAGCACATCCAGATTCCATTCTAGGTGAATTCCATTCTAGGTAGTGCCTATGTCCCTGTCATGATGCATAGGATCCCCACAATGTTTGGGCAGATTAAAGCTAACAAAGGTTCTCTACATTTTGCCTCCTGTTTTCCCACTCATAAAGCTACTCTATCCAACATCATCACTATCATACAAATTTGTCAGTGGACCCAGAATTTGACAATTACAGTGGCGCCTCAATTCTTGCTTCCATTCCACTAAGACTCATTGTCCTCACTTTTTGCCTTCCTTCCCTGACCCCCACAACATGAGGTATGATTCATAACAACAGTCCATTACATTGTGTTTCATTCATGTATATGTGTTTTATACCATCTTTCATTTACATTGTGTTTCATACAATCATTCATATATATTGCATTTTCAAGTCCCAACTGTATCCTTTCCATTCCTTCACCACCACCTGCTGCGACCCTGTCTGTCCGCTAGTCCCTGCTATCCTAGTGATTTTTCCTCTTCTCATATTCAAACCTGCATATCTCTACTTTCTCAAGTTTTTCACTCCAGGCCATGCCTTAACACTCAAACTCACCCCACTATTCCCCATGGCTCCCTACGTCTGCCACATTAACCAAGTTCTTCTCTTCAGTGCACAGGCTTGCCTCCTCTTAATTGGGATCACCTCTGCCAGAAGAAAGGAAGGTGTCTTCTTCCCTGACCTAGCGACTTACTCATTCACACCCCTTGAAGTAAAAATCATAATGTTTTAACGACAATCTCTTTATGACTATATATTTATTCAATGCTTCCACTTCATCATTTATGTCCTGACCAGCTAGCTATGGATACCACTCAGGAAAAATGTCTTGAATTCAAAAGCACATAAACATTGACCGTCAGGATCTTTCTTGATAATAAGTTAGTCTGTCCTTGATCTGAAACAATGGCAGAAACCCGCTATCAAAACCACTGAAGGCATTATTTACTTCAACTCAGAGAAATTCAGAGTTTCTGAATAAGAATTAACCTTAAGCAGCTATAAAGTGAAAGACAAGGGCAAATTTGTTTAAATGAAGTCCCACGGGTACACAATGAAATACTGAGTAACTTGTTATTAGCTTTCCAACACTGATAGTGCCGCTCTACTGCATATCAAGGTCACCCTGGGTAAGAGGATCCTGGTTACAAGCATTCCTATTACAAGAAGAAAGAGATCAGCTATTCCAATTGCATATATGCTCTGGAAAAGTAACAGCTGGGTGCATATTACTTACCGGTTTGTCCTTGATGGTGGGGCTTGATACGCACAGGTACAGTTTCCCATCTTCTTCCAGGCAGGCATCTATCAAAGCTTGTACAGAACTCTCCTCCTGGAACAGCAGAAAGGCATAGCCTTGGGGAAAAGAAAAACAAGGGAAAGAGGGAATCAGCTAATGAAATGCAAAGTAACAATCAAAAAGATATCTTTTGCTTGATTTTGGCAAATCCTTAAAACATAAGAACTTTAAGTAAGCCATAGGAAAGAAGAGGTGAAGCAAAACCAGCCAAGAACCTTGTGCCAGATGGAGAACCTATGGGAAGAGCAGAATGGCCTTGTAGAGTTTCCAAGGTGGTAATTATGAAAGCAGACTACCTTATCTTCCTCTAGTGGAGCGGCTGCCAGGTCCAAACCACCAACCTTTGGATTAGCACTGAAACACTTAACCACTAAAGCATCAGGGTCTTTTTGATACTGTGGTAGTTCTTGATACATTACATGTTATACCTTGTTTAATCCTCATAACCATTCAAGGGGCCAAGCTTAGAACTCTTCTATGGAAATGCCACTAAATGAATGGGGTCATATTTAATGAGGGTAGGCAGACATTACTTTTCTGAGCCACACTACCAGCCAGGTAGTAAGTTGTAACCCTAGCTTCCAGCAAGCCCTAATCTTGGTACTTGCTTAATGTGCATGAACTCTGAAACCACTATGCCAGGTAAAAGCAACCAGTCACAAAATACTACATGCTGTGTAAGTCTATTTATATGCGACTTCCACAATAGGTAAGACCACATAGACAAAAAACAGCCTCGTGGTTGTCAAAAGTTCAGAGGGAATGGATATGGGATGTTTAAGGCTAGAGTATTCAGGAGAAATGGACATTTAATATAAATGTTCTAAAAACTGGCTGGTTATGGTTGCACAATTCTGTGACTATGCTGTAAACCAATGAACTTCACTTTTTAAATGGTTGAACTCTATGGTATAGATATTTTCTCTTCATAAAGCCATTAAAAAGTCAACCAGGTTGATCTCTGCTATATTTTTAGGTTGGTTTTTGTTGCTGTTGTGGTTTTACATATTATTTTTGATGACGATGCTTTGTTTCTCTGAGGATACTCTCTGGTTTCATGGCAGGGTCATATCAATAAATGTGGATATATAAATATATAAATGTGGGTATAGCAATTTTGTTCAATTTAATTCAGTAATACTTACAGAATTAAATATTACAGCATATGCATATGAGAAACTGAGATAAGTAAGACTCTGTTTCTGCTGTCAAGAGTCACTTTTCTTAGGAGAAACAGTAAACTGTATTATTACTTCCTACAAAGTTGAGGAGATATGTGGGGCCAAAAGGTGCCATAAAAGTTCAGAACTCTGACTTAGGTGACAAAGAGGACAATAAATGCTCAAGATGACCATGCTAATATAATTTGCTACCATAATGGCATTCATAAGGGGCTGATCGATTCAGAGGCAAGAGAGGATACTGCCCATCTTTCTCCCACAGAGCAGCTGGTGGATTTGAACTGAGTATGTTTGAGCTGGCAATGAAACTCCTTACCATGAAGCCATAAACCTCACAGGCTTTCCTAAATCTCAGTTGTCCCCTCTATTCCCTGTTCTGACCTCGGAGGAAATCAGCATCAACAGTATTCCCCTCTGGTGTACTTACATACAGACACATATATACATGGCAGAAGGATGTAAATGATGTGAAAGGATATGAACTCCAATGCACAGAAAACTCTCCAACATCAAACAAAGATACTTAATTCATAATAAAATGACCAAAGAGTAAAGCTCTGTGGTGTCCTGCACAGCAAGGAATGGCAGTGGGAGTGGTTAATGAAAAATAGCTACTGTTTTTTAACCTTGTCCCTAGTCCTTCTTCCATCCAGAGCCTAATCAAAACAGCTACAAATTCTGCGGACAAAACAAACTTATTTAGCTTGGTGCTTTCTCATATTGATGGCTGCTGCCTGTTACACTGGTTACACTCTGATGTATCTGGGAAATGTTTGTTATTTTTCCTGTTGCCTTTGCTTGGAATGCTCTGTATGGACAAAGGGCTAGGGACAAGGTTAAAAAAAAAAGTCAGTAACTGTTATTCATTAACCACTGTCATTATCATTCCCTGACATCTAGGATTACTCATACAAAGGTCAAACTGAAGCTAAAGAAAATGAAAACAAATCCATAAGAACCAAAATCTGACCTGAGTCTCTCCTACCTGAACTTAAAAATAATCTCAGGATCAGGTGTGAGGATGTGAACACTAATGAACAAAGATCAGATGAGCTGTGGGAGGATATCAAGAATATCATCCAGGGAGAATGCAAAAGTTCATTACAAAGGCAGAGGAAGAAGAAAAGACCGAGATAGATGTCAGAAGAGACGGAATATTGCATTGGAACACCAAAATGCCAAAGCAAAGGAAAAAATCAGGAAGTTAAGGAGCTGAGCAGATTTCCAAGGGAAAACAAAGCAAAGTTTTATAATGAAATATGCAAACAGCTGGAGTCAGAAAATCATAAGGGATGAACTCACTTGGCACATAACAACAACGTATCTACAGGAGGAAGGATGCTGAATGCTGAAATGTTAGGACCAAGGGTCACCTCTGGGCTTTGCTTTCAAGCTAGAGCTGCAGAGGACTGGGTAGAGAGGAAAAAGAAAAACTGCAAAGCTAGAGAGAATAATCATCATTTCTTCATATCCTTTCTCTTTTGCAAACAGTAGGAAACTGTCACTAAGTTCCAAGAAAACTATTAAAAATTCAATGCTTTGATTTAATGTGAAAAAACTATATTTGCAAGAGAATATTAAAGATGAATTGGTTAAAAAAAAGACCTCCTCAAAAAGGTCTTTCTATCAAACTTCTACCTTACTAGTTTAAATACTGGGAATCTTCCACAAAGGTCATAAGCAACACACTGCGTTATCTTGCTCTTGGAGAGAACACGTCTATGTTAAACTACACACAATACATTATAAAGGTCTGGCGACAGCGCACACTCACTGAGCTGAGCTTTTTTACTTCCTTGCCTGTGGAGGGCCATGAGGATGACTGTCTACATCTTTCTCCCACATCAATGCCCATTACCTACAATCTTCTCCATCAAATTCACTTCTGGGTTGACTCTGAGTGTGATTATCTCCCCCGAAGAGTCAAGTAGCTACCATAAAAGCATAAATATTTTCCCTCAGGCCTATCTCAGAGTATAGGCATAATGTCAATTGAGAGTAACAAGTAAGAGCCCATTACAAATAATATTGCCAAGAAAAGTCTCTACAGACATGGAACAGCCCATATCATTTTACCAATTTCTTCAGGACTACTGAGGATGTTGTATACCATCTGACCTGGAGCTGATCCTCCAGTTTGTTTTCAGAAGCAGTGAATCACACAGTAGTTGACTGCCATCCTTCTTCCATGAAGCAACTGGTGGATTCAAATGATGTGTCTCTGGGTTAACAGTGCAATTCCTTACTACTAGGCCCTCAGAGCTCCCTTCAAGACCATTGTTGCTGTGTGGCTTTGAGTCTCAACCAACCTATAGCTGCCCTAGAGTGGATTTTCAGAAGCAGTAAATTACACGGGAGGGGAATGCCCATACTTCTCTCACCATCAGGGGACCATTAGTGTACAAAAAAAAAATAAATAAATAAAATCACCAAGAGTCAAAACAGTTACCTTCACAGTCACCTCTACACAACAAGCTGCCACTATCTGTAGAGACAAAGTTCTTTTTTTGGGGGGGTGGTGTTTTATTTTTTAGTTTTAAAATAAAAATTAACAGAGATTGATTTTCATTCATTTCTATATATATTCCTCCCTTCCCCTCCTCCAATTAACTTTATAATACTGTTCCAGGCTGTTAATTGCCATATATTTATAGGTCTAAGCATCCCTCCCTTTCAGATTGTCCTTTCTTCCAACATCTGAGTGCACTGTTCATAATCTTTCCATTCTTTTCATGCTCTTCCTCCCTCCTCATATCAATCCTCTTATTATAACAATGGTCTTATGCAATTTTTATCCTTTTGTGACTGAGATATTTCACTCATGATAATGTCTTCCAAACACTATTCCAAACTATTCAGGTTGCACAGAGTTTTACAAGATCATTGTTTTTCAGTGCTGTGTAGTATTCCATTATGTGAATGCACACCCAAATACACACACCCATGTAGTTTTATTCACAATAGCGAAGAGTCAGAAGCAGACCAAGTTCCCATGAACAACTGAATGATTGGAGAAACTATGGTACATTTACATAATGGACAAAGGTCTCTTGACAACACATATTAGAGGTATGCATGTACTTGCCTCTGGATTATAGCCTAACAATTTTTTCAACTCTCCTTCCTACTTTGGGCCTTCCAACCAAAATAAAACTCACCATGAATACCCTAATACACTATGAAAACATCTTTAGGAAAACGGCACTTACTAAAATACTTACTGATATCTTAATGTCAAAAAGATTATCTGGGAGGATGGGCTCTATAAGAAGTGTGGCATCATGGTGCAACCACTGTGGAAGGTGGTATGGCACTTTCTTAAAAAGTTGCAAATAGAGATACCATTTGACTCAGCAATTCCACTACTGGGAATATACCCCAAAGAGACCATAACTGACACCCAAGCAGATATATGCACACCCATGTTTATCCCGGCTTTGTTCACAATAGCAAGGAGTTGGTAACAACCTAAGTGCCCATCAACAAATGAACTGATAGAGAAGCTGTGGTATATTCACACAATGGAATACTATGCTGCATTGAAAAACAAGAAACCCATGTAATATTATACAAAATAGGTGACCCTCGAGGACATTATGCTCAGTGAAGTATCTCAGTCACAAAAGGACAATGCATGGTGCCACTGTTGTAAAACAGGACTGACAGTGAGCTTGGGGAGAGACTGAGAAAGATGAGTTAAATAATGTATACTGCATTGAAACAGATGAGGGAGAAAACTGTTTAAGAGGGATATGTGATTAGGTATTTTTGTCATGACAGAAGTCCAGAGTGAAGGCTGCATAGTGGAGTGAACTTGGGGGAGGGGAGGGATTATAAAACAATGAAAGAATTCTTCTTTTACTTTTCCAAGAGGG